CAAAGGATATTGACATGATGCACGTCCGTGTATAAACAGTAATGTGCTATTAATCTTAATATATAGAAATAACCTTTGCCATTTCTAACTATACACTAATGGAAATTAAAAATTCAATGTAGTATCCCGGTTGTTCTGAATAAAATGTTGTGATTTTTATATTGACTTTGAATATGTGTATGTGTTGACTTAAGGCTGCAATTCAGTTTTAGGAGACATGTAATATACTAGTAACAAAGACTCTAAAGCATAAAAGTATGTGCTGTCCTAAGATGTAGTTATAAAACAGCCATAACAAGTTATTGTTACCCAAGGATTTTCCACTGTCATTTTGACCTAATGACCTCAAAATCGATACTTCTGACAACAAACAATGTCAAAGCCTAGGCTTGTTCCAATGGCACAATTTAGAATATCAAACTCTTCCCAAAACAGCTACTTTACTATGCCTACAATTGATCACAGTTCTGAAAATTGTTTATTTCAAACCCATTCACAACCCTTTACTTTTCAACTGTGTACAATGTTAAACTCTAAAGTTAAAGAGAAAATGAAAATAAACACATCTGATGTTTAAAAATTTTATTGCTAAATTAGCACTTTTGTTTTGTTTTTACAATCAAAAGACTTGTGAAGTCAAGTCTTCTTAATAACCAAAATACTGCATTCATACTGAACAATTTTGCATGAACAACAATACAATTTTCTTTAATTCAACAACTGAACTGAAAAAATCTAATAAAGTATAAATAAGAGCGAATGAAATAATAGTATATCTATAAAATGTAGTACATTTAACAATTTTATCACTTACATATATTTGTGAGGGTACGACTATATAGAGTAATATATCAATGTTTGACCCGCATGATATAAGTATTACTATCACATTCCTTTTCAAACTTTAATATGTGCTAAACCTCTTTTTGTTAAGTGGATATTTTACATTTAAAAAAACTGTTAACACTTAAAACCTAATCCTAGAACTGTTGTAGCAAATGAACTGTGGGGGTATATGAAGTCCATTTTAGTTACAAGCAGATTTGTCTTGCCTTTATTTAGAGTATAAAAAATCCCCAGCAAAAAGCCGATATTAATAGCTTCAGGTAGCTTAAATGATGCCAAAAACCTCATGGTATGGTCACATTTAATCTAACATAACTGGAATTTCAAAACAACTAAAAAAAAACTCTTGAACTCTAATAGAAAAAAACAAATCCTTTTTAAATAAATCAGACAATACAAATGGCATTAAAATGTACATATTTCTTGAAAAATGGGCAAGATACCCAAACTATTGAATTATATGTAACCTACTATTTCTTAACAAAAAAATACCAGTCTTACACTAACAATCAAATTAGACATAACATTTTGTTTGTTTTCTTACTACATTCCATTATTTTGAACATATCTCAGAAATATTTTGGAAGTTTCTGTTGCTCAGTCAACGTGAACTATTGATTTTATACTGCTGTTGAAAATTTCATTTTACACTGTTAATATAAATATTTGGCATTACACAAACTTCACTTTACCATATAGCTAATATCACTTTAACCATAATACAAAAAAAATTTGATAAAACAATTGTTTCCTTAGAACTGTCACTTGACCACAAACTTTATACATTGTACATATGTCTGACACAGTGCTCTGTATAAAGTTTTAAGTTTGTCAATGAAAATTTCAGATTCGCCAGTGGTAAAATAACTGCGTATTTTTTTTATATTTAATCTTCTTTTTTTTGTTTTGAGACAGTTATTAAGCAGTAAATTATACTACTGTGGGTTTACAGAAAGAACCAATATCAACCTTTGCAGAACACACACAAGTCACTTAAGTATTACACTAATATCACCTTGCTTTTGTACAAGTGTCTATATATAGCACATTTTACAAACACCCACTTTTTAGATTAAATCTATGCATTGTTGTACTTATAAAAGTCGACAAAAGGCAGAATCACGCTTATAACGGTACTCAAGCCATTATTTTAACGAATGATCTTGAAAGTACATAATCTTGACGATGGATAAAGAATAATGTCTTCGCAGCCGCATGCGGCTATTCATTTTTTTCAGTTCGGTTAAAAAAATTTATATTGGCCAGTTACTTACTGCATTGGAAATCCTGTCATGTATCCGCCATTTATTGCACAATTCTGCGTTACTTCTTGCACGAATCGTGCGTTATTTTCACATTCCGGTGTTACTGGATATACACGTGCATTATCTAAGCGTAATACTACCTGACTCTCGCTGTAAGACCTTAATTTTTGATTTATACATATGTATATAAAAAAATAATTGTTAAAGAGTGATCCTTGTTTAAAGATATTTTTGATAAAAGTGTAAACGTAAATATCTTCTTTTTTTATCAAAATCTTGAAGTTTATTTTTGACGCTTTGTGTTTTTTCCATAGTTCATACTTTTTGAATAAGAAACATGTGTACCATGTGATAATGTCCAAAAAGAATGGCAATGTACCCCTGAGTTGAGCCTGTTTCATTGTTTTACTAATTCAGTTATACTCGCAGGACTTTATCAGCTAGTACACCATACCGGAAGAGTATTTGACTGGACATGGTAACTTAGTACGCAACATCAAAGTTTTCTATGAACTGAGGTTTAAAATCCGACTCCTTGGTAAATGAATTTGTTATACATATATATAGATATCAGTTAAAACGTCCGTAGGCCCGTGTGCCTCGATGACAAAATGCACTTTCCTTGTCATCAAGATTGCTAACCATGGTTGTATCAGCAATGCAAAGCTTCAGCTATTGTTCACGGCTAATAAACATCATTGCCCTCTGCGTATAACTTTTGTTTACACTCAAACACCTTCAAAATTCGAAAAGCATACCTTCTATGGTATAATTTGTGGTTATTCATGTCGAAATGTCGTTCATATTTTTTGTTTCCAAAGAGCAATAATCAAAAACAAATAAATTATCTTTATTCTTTTTTAAAAAATGGTTTAACACTTTTAAGCAGTTGTTTAATTATTTGTTTTGTGTAGTCTACGCTAATATCCGGTTTGCGTATTCTTACTATTGTTTTGTCTGTCTATTCAGGTCCTAGATTGACATGGCATATGTGAAGTAACCCCATGGCGTATCTTAAAATGAAAATATATCAAGAAAGACAACTTTTATCTTCCCTTTAAAATTAAGCAAGCTTGAGTTACTTTACATTACTTATGTCGGGTGTTTTAATTTCGACCTCTGTACCAGAGTCAACACCATTCTCGTTATGATATCAAGAGGTAATTTTAAGTACATAAGTTTAGATTATATCAAGTCAATACATTGTCTCGAGTTGACACTTGCAAATACGTTCGTACAGTAACACACAATCTGTGGCTACCCATTTAATTTATCATTCTCATTCTCCACCCCACTAATAAAAAGAAATTGTGTTGCATTAATCAATGAATTACTTACAAAGGATATTGACATGATTGCACGTCCGTGTATAAACAGTAATGTGCTATTAATCTTCAATATATAGAAATAAACCTTTGCCATTTCTAAACTATTACAAGCTTGTGGTCCATAATGGAATATATCTATACTATACTTCAGAAAATGTCACCGTAATCCCACGGTTGTTCTGAATAAAATGTTGTGATTTTTATCTCTATTAGATTTGATATATTGTGGTAATTGATGGTTGTACTATATAAAGGTCTTCTGACATTCATGTTTAGGTAGAAGCACTGTAATATACTAGTATTAACGTAAAGACTCTAAAGTATGCAATGAGATAAGTGAGTGGTCTGGTTCCTAAAAGATTTGCACGTAATAAGAATCAGTCATATACTTAATATTAATTATCACCAAAGTGAGTTTTAATCCATATGATCAATTTGTACCTAATGACACCTCAAAGAGTCGATGACTTCTGGACTAAAAAAACTCAACTGTATTACTCAATAAGCTCCTAAGGCTGTTGCCAAGCACAATCTTTATGAGTAGTCACACCACAATCTATCCAAAAACAACGCCTCAACTATATATTTATATAGGTACTGATATTCTGATCACAATGTAGCAGATAGATTAAGTTCAAGACCCATAACAAACAACCTTACTTTCTACAACTGATACTCAAATGTCTAATATAACTCCTAAAGTAAAAAGAAGAATATGTAAAATAAACCAACATCGTAGATCGTGTTTAGAAATTATTTTTTATTGTTTTTGTTAAGCTAAATTAATACACTTTGTTTTAAGTTTTAGTACAATACAAAGAGACTTGTGGAAGTCAAGTGTCTTCTTAATACCAAAATACTGCATTCACAAATTAACTGAATAACAATAAATTTGCTCAAATAGTTATGAACAACAATACAATTTTCTTTAAGGTTCAACAAAATGATTCATTGAAAAAACTTTTCGTAATTAACAGTATAAACTAAGAGCGAATATGAATAATTAATAGCCTAATAAGATCTAATAAAATAATTAAATGTAGGTACATTTAACAATCTTAATCACTTACATAAATATGTTAGGTGTACGACAATGTATATAGAGTAACATCATATCAATGTGTTGACCTCGCATGTAGTATAAGTATTACTTTATCCACATTCGACTTCAAACATATATATGATGCTAAACCTACTTGAATTATAGTGGATTATAATATCATTTTATACTTAAAAACTAGAATTAACACGTAAAAACCTAATCCTAGAACTGTTGTAGCAAATGAACTGTGGGGTATATGAAGTCCAATTTTAGTTACAAGCAGATTTGTCTTGCTTTATTTAGAGTATAAAATCCCCAGCAAAAAGCCGATATTAATAGCTTCAGGTAGCTTAAATGATGCCAAAAACCTCATGGTATGGTCACATTTAATCTAACATAACTGGAATTTCAAAACAACTAAAAAAAAACTCTTGAACTCTAATAGAAAAAACAAATCCTTTTTAAATAAATCAGACAATACAAATGGCATTAAAATGTACATATTTCTTGAAAATGGCAAGATACCCAAACTATTGAATTATATGTAACCTACTATTTCTTAACAAAAAAATACCAGTCTTACACTAACAATCAAATTAGACATAACATTTTGTTTGTTTTCTTACTACATTCCATTATTTTGAACATATCTCAGAAATATTTTGGAAGTTTCTGTTGCTCAGTCAACGTGAACTATTGATTTTATACTGCTGTTGAAAATTTCATTTTACACTGTTAATATAAATATTTGGCATTACACAAACTTCACTTTACCATATAGCTAATATCACTTTAACCATAATACAAAAAAATTTGATAAAACAATTGTTTCCTTAGAACTGTCACTTGACCACAAACTTTATACATTGTACATATGTCTGACACAGTGCTCTGTATAAAGTTTTAAGTTTGTCAATGAAAATTTCAGATTCGCCGGTGGTAAAATAACTGCGTATTTTTTTTTTTACTTGGTATCTTTTTTTGTTTTGAGAAAGTTATTTAGCAGTAAGTTATACTGCTGTGGGTTTACAGAAAGAACCAATATCAACCTTGGCAGAACACACACAAGTCACTTAAGTATTACACTAATATCACCTTGCTTTTGTACAAAAGTGTCACTTAATATATAGCACATTTTACACACAACCACAATTTTTAGATAAGTTAGTATTTCCAATGCTTAACCCTAAAACCTGCTAGAACAAAAAAATGATTAGCCTTTGTCATCAGTATAGACCCAGCCTGTCAGCATGACAGTCTGCTGGTATCTCAAATTTTTGCAATTTAATGTTGAAATCCCTTACACTTTGAATGGACTGTTCAAAATTCAAAGTTGGGTGAGTCCATTTCACAAATTCAGCAGGTTAAAGGTTAAATATTGAACCAATCTAACAGTGGCAACACAATAGCTGACCAGACATTATTTACAATCATTTATACAAGTCATACAAAAATTGTTTGGATCAAAAAATGGATAAATATTCAATTTATTCACATTCTTTCTTAAAAACCAAATTGAGTACAAATTATGCACATTATTACCAGTGCAGCTTTATTAAATTCATAGTAGTAAGTTGGAATGTCAATAATATATTTGTGTATTAAGAAAGGGGGATAAAAAGCACATGTATGTCGAAATTTCATTTTTCATCAAAATTAAAGTCATTTTTTTTCTATTCTCAAGAAAAATGGACCGGACTATTGTTATCCCTTGTGGAGTCCGGTGCAGGACTTCTGCGTTTCTTATTGCGACTCTGTCCGTCGGTTCCATTTGACTCCATTGTTGTGACAGGACTTGGTGTTCGCCTGCTGAGGTAGTCTACATAACACGGCAAAAAGTGTTTCACAAGTGATTCAAAATAGTTCTGAACAGATTTTCCTACAGCATATACATCAGATTTTTCAGAGTTGTATTTAAAGCAGTTTCGAAACACAAGCTTGATGTCGGATAGAAATTCTTCTACTGAATTGTAATGGGCAAAATGCCCTCTACGAAGCTTGCATTTGATGGCTCCAAAATCCATCGGATCTTTAATGATCTTGTGGTAATTAGGGACCTGAAAGAAAAAGAACACATGTTAAGAATGTTTAATATTTGATGTATTTCTTGTAAAAATTAACATCAATTCTTTTGACTTTTTTGAAGGTTTTGTTTAAAAATTGTTTAAAGCTAACTTCTATAAATTTATAAGTGGGAAACTGTAAGAGGAATAATTTTCATTATCATCATGCCACACACGAAGAAAAAATTCAATATCCCTGGTGCGATTTGAACCCACAGCATCAAGGGATATACATGTATAAATTGAAGTTAGTGATCTTAACAAATTAACTCCCTTTAAGTTTAGTGGAAATAGAGAATGACTATTTTCAAATATGAATTTTATAACTTGAACATGTCTCAATCACAAACTATTAAAGTCATTAAACTATCAGTCAATCACAAAACTTTTTAGGAAGATTTGATAAATTTTCAGAGAGTCTTTTTCATTTTCTTACCGATTTTGGAACAGGCTCATGAAACACTGTGCTGATCTCCAAACAGAATAACTCCAGTAATATCCTCTCACATACCTACGAAAGAATAGAAATCTATACTAAGCAGTCATTCTTTCAAATATATTGAGATCCAAGACTGAGTTAAATGTTATTACTAAATCTATACCTAACAATTGAATTAAGTCTGGAGTAAACTATACTACAACATGGAACTACCAGGGTAATGCTGATTTTTTCCATCTATATATTTTTCTTGAATTTCACCAACATTGCAATAGCCATATAAAGACTCTCCAAAGACTTCCAAAAACATTTATCTGAAAAGACCATTGCGTACTGACGAAAATCGTAAAAATTTCCACTAGCATATGATATATATAATCTATCATTAAATTCTACCCTTGCACAATCGTTAATATTTCTTCACAAGAAATGTATGGATTTTAAATTAGCTAACTTTATGACATGCGGAAATATCCACTTTATACAGTAATCCACTGTAAGCTAGCAGAATTTATCTAAAGCAATAATGACTGCATGAAAACTTAAAGAGCCATATTCATACCTTAATCTCCTTGTCAACAAGTCCGTTGGGCGCTTTCCGCTTGCCAGTGCTCGTCACCTCGTACTCTTTGGGTATCGGAGACTTGATCTTCAATTCTTCATCTGCCGAGCACAATGTACATGTCCATACTTCACTGAAAAAATACATGTAGAAATTTCTTATAGAACATCTCTCATAAATACAATATTTTGACAAGTTCCTTTATTTCCACTTAAAATTAATGTCAATTTAAATGTATTTATGTACCTGGTTAATGAAGTATATTTGGTTAACTTATAATTTAACTATTTTCTTTATATAAAATAATAATAAAAACAGCCCTATAAAAATTCTAAAAATATGTGTCATCATTACTCACGCTTTCACAACAATAAATACTCAAGCAAATTTGTAAAGAATAGAAAGTCAGTATGTCAGATCAACTTTTTAGCAAAAACACAAAATGTAAATTAAAGTAACAAATCAAAGATGTAGAAAATTTCTTATTACATTCAGTGTCATTTAATTATGAATCTGATCTCGACAAAAGTTTATTCAAATTAATTGTAATGCTACTAATTCATTCTGCTAAGAAAGGGGGAATGCATTCACATTCTGCAAAATTGCATAATTTGGTAACAATAATGATAAAAAAAAAAAACCCCCAAAAAAACAACAACTAAAAACACCCCAAAACAGAGACTTGAGGCAAAAAATTGACACAGCAGGGATACAATAGATAGTCATGCAAACGACTGAACTATGAAAATGAAAATATACCACTAGTAGAGGTTCTTCTACAATCCTATATATGTTATATACCAGCATAGACATTGCAAAAAATCAAGTCTTAATAATAGAAAAAACAAAATCACAAAGGCATACTCTAATCTACATATTTTATTATCAAAATTAAAAAACCTAAACAAAGTCCCCACCCAGGTGTCCTACACCACAGCTGTATTATGATGTGGTCTATTACTTCACATTGAACTGGTACATGTGTTAAAATTCACGGTAATTTCAATATAAGATATCTAAGTCATTCTCCATTCCCTTAAGTTCAAATGTTTTCCCAATTTAGCTTACATCATTCTCATAAAGTTTCGCTTTTTGGTGGAAGAGGACCCTTTAATTTACACAAGCGTGTGAAAAAAATCAATTTAAAGTATCAGATCCAAATAATTGACTTTCCTGTCAGACATTATGACTCTGATTGAAGCGTCTTTAATTAATTTTCAGGTAAAAGTGTGTGAATAAACACTTAAATTACTAGCCATGGGTGACAGCCTTGAATGACCTATCAATAATGTCATATGAAATGGTACATTACTGGGATATAAGCTATCAAGCTGTCCTAGGGTAACTGACAGCTAACATTATTGGTAAATGATCACATTTCATTACAGCATAACTAGGACCTGACAGTAAACATTAATCATTCAAATAAGAATGAAGTGATTTAGACATAGAACATGAAGTTTAAGACACAAGAACATGAAGTTTCAGACATATGACCATGAAGTTATAAGGTCACTCCAATGGACCATACATTAACAAATACAAGTTTAATCCTCATTTTTTATCACAGTGGATCAATTTCAAGTTCCCTCAAGACATCACTTATCAAGAAATCAAATTATCAACATAACTAACAGAAAATGATAATTTATCAAATAATCAAACTATCATCAAATGTTTTTATACAAGCACTTCGTTTGAATAAATGCCAAGTGTATAGAACTTAGTTTTTGTGACAGGAACTTAATAATGGTGTTGATCGTGGAACGACTTTCCTGTTATGGTGACAGTTCAAATTTAATGACAAACAAACAGACAAGCCAATAACAATATACCCTTCTATCTATCAATCCAGGACACAAAAAGCAACATTTTATTTTATCTGAAACCAGTTTATTACCTCAAAAGATATATGGAAATTACTTGTATTTGTCAGATATATAAATATACATTTGCCTAACAAATGACATGACATTGAACATTTACTGCAGCCTCAATCATTTCTGCATAACCTAACAAATGACATTGAATCTAACATTGCTACAGAACCTTAATGCCTGGGAATAAGATTCATGGTCTCAAGGTAACGTAAATAAATCATTCCGAAACAGATTAGAAGATCATTCAGACATGGCAAGTATTATTCACATTTTCTCTCTCTCAAAGAAGCTAGAATATTCCCCCATGTGACACGAGGAGAGACCTGACAGTCTGACAGTAAAAACCCAATAATCAATACCTTGACAGTAATTACAGAAAGTCCTCCAGACATGACCCCAAACACTGCTGTTACCTTGTTGCTTGCAGGAGAGAAAACAATGTCAGCCAGTAACTGGAGAAAACTAGCTTCCCAATAATACACTGTTTCCAGCAAACCTTGCAGCAAGTTAACTTAGTAAAATCAATAAGAAACCACAGTTTCAACTAGGGAATTGTCACATCACACAGCCATGGGTTCTTTTGTTATCACTTTGGTAATTTAGCCTAGATGTTCAGTAATTGCTAAAATCAATACCTAACAGTAATTTTAGTATGTGATTTCTCTCTAATTCAGGGGAGAGGAATCAAAGGTGAGGCAACAGCAGAATACTTTAACAGAAATTTTAGAAGATACAGAGCATTAAGAGGACATATAATGTAACAATGCACAGCCTCGTTTTAAGATTTATATAATTGAGAGTTTAAAGCATAGATCTAGAACAGAACAAACAAGCAGCTTCAATACCTTTGCAAACCAGTATTATAATACATTTTTTTCTTGGAAAGGTGTCATTGTTCAAATCTTATGTTGCAATTGAGACTGTTATTCTATTCATCTAATGACTTTACTTATAGTTTTTTATTTACTCTGTGTAAGATGTGATGAAACTTATTATGTTTATTGTTTATTTTACAATGACAGCAAAACAATTGTTATCTTGATTTTATCTTCAAAAAGTAGCAAGGTAAAAGCCATGCTATCTTGGATTATATACTTAATCTGAAAACTGTCAGACCTGTGATATTGTTTGTTTTTCTATTTTGCAAGTTGCTGCCAAGTAAATGTATCAGTTGTTAATCTATAATTATGTGACACTAAGTGACAACAAATTTGTAAAGCTCTTGAGCTGAAATGGTTTTTGGCAGGTTTTCATACCAACAAATTAAGAGACTTATGATTGGTTAGTTAAGTACAATTTGTTACTGTACTTGAGAGCTTAATTTGCGGAATGCAACTATTGGGATTTTTTGACATTCTGTTATTAATTATTTAGAAACAAGCATTTCACTTTTAGCAATAAATGAATTTCATTTTGATTTTATGCTAGCATAAATTTGCAGAATTGAAATTTTAAAGCAAATATCATACAGCTCAAATTTGAGTAATATCCCCATAAAATTAACCCAACCCTTATCAATTTCATAACCTGGAGGAAATAAATAACTTACAGGGGGCACTTTACAAGTCAACACAATTTTCATTTTAAGGTTATGTTTGGTTTATTAATGAAATGCACTTTAATTTTGTCTTTTGTAATCATAACTTGTATATGTACCATGTAATTGCTTAACTCCCATGCAAAAATAAAGTAGGCTAAAGAGGGCAAAAATACACTGTGGATTCACTTAATTTTGCATGCATGAAATTTTGTGGTTGCGTTAAAAATGTTATTTTCTTGGGTTCTAAAATTCTTAGATTGTCTATTTTTGTAAGAGCAATTTGCAAATAATGCAATGCAAAATAATGTTACACCAGATCTGCAATGAAATTTCACTGCATCATAATTTTTTGGATTGACGACTAACTTATCAAAAACCAAAATTAGTGCCCTAACAAAAATTATGATTTTACATCAATCTGTGAACACTAGGGAGGTAGGAAAAAACAACATTACATTTTACAAAAGATAATTCTAGAAATGATTCAAAAGCAAAGGCAATTTTCAGTCAATAACTAAACTACATACATAACTGTAATAATACAAAATTTGTCCCACAAATAGAGATGCCTTGATCCTATCTAAAATTGTGCTCAATTTGTTGTTAAAGTCACACAATGGTTTTGATACCACTTAAAAGTTGAAAATAAAATACAGGGTTCTCGGGGACGCTTATTTCGGCAACCCGGTACGCATGTTTATTACAGCTGGACGCAAATATTTCAGAGCAAGGATTCCACGTACGCTAAATTTTGCCTGGGGACGCATCAACATTACCGATTGTTTACAACCACAAATACACAAATACGTCAGCGCGTGTCAGTCTATAGGTAGGCGGTCCTATGCACATCGACCCGTGAAGCGATTAGCCAATCAGCGATAACACTTTCGGTCATTATCACGCAATGGAGATCAGATTAATTAATGTATACACAGGCTGTTCATGTAATTACCAGATATAACATGAGGTGATAATTTAATATCTTTGATCAACAGTTGATTGGAAATTAGCAAATTTTACCGACAAAAGGATTAAAATATCGACTATTTACGCCGCAAATTCTCAAATTACAAATGAGTGTAATTTTGAATTATTGTCGAAATTTTCGGCATTTTCTAGGCAAAATTTTGCTTTAGATTCATTCTTGCAAAAACGTTCTAAGAGTATTAATAATTTAACATATTGTGCCGAAATGCCAGGACAACTAACCAAAATACACATAAGCTTTTCTTTGATATTAAGATTCTATCCGAAAATTGATCCCGAACATCGGCGATTTCACATTTGCCGGAATTTCAGAAACCCTAAAATTTCACAAAAATTCTCAGTTTCCAAGCCAAACATGTGAATGAATTGTTCCTTTATTATTTAATCAGCATTAAATTTAAATAGTGATCTTCAATTTGCCCCCATTTTGAAGATATTTGCTAAAATAATTCTCGATCGGATGAATCTCTTACACACTGTGTGAAGCTGTACACGATTTTCCTATTCATTCCGCTAAATGCTGCCTATATTTTTTTTTTTACAAATATAAACTTTTTGTCTTTAGAGTGGACTTATTTAACCAGAATAAAATTTGATTTGGTGTAAAAGTGAAAAAAAAAAACACCAAAAAAACCCGATTTCCATGTGTTGATGCATTATAATGAAATAATTTCATGAAAAATATTAACAACAAAACAATAATTATACTATGTAGTCCAGAGTTTGTTTTGAATAACTATAAACTTTGAAAGTCTCTTGAAGATTCAAAATATCAGCAATGCTATTTTGAGCACTGTAAAAATATTTATTGCGACGCGCCTTTGGACTCCAACTTTTTCAGGTTTGGGAGTCCATGGACTCCATGTTTTAAAGTCCTAGTGAGAACCCTGAAATACGTATCTAGAAATTTTAACAACAAGCTTGATTTAATCCGAACAACACTATATATCTTAAATGAACTTGTCCATCCTTCAATCTGGACAAAACCATTCATTATTTTTATGAAAAATTCCTAAATAAATACTGTATAGTGAACAGTGCAGATGGTATTGAAACTTTAAACCACTACAGATCATGTTGACATGAAGATAGTGAAAAATTTTGCATCCATTTGGAGAACTGAGAACAAACAGCTAGTTTACTGAATAAATCATTCTGAATATTTTTTCAGCATCTCTATTTTTCTAGTTATAAAAATATAAGGAATCTACATAACTTTCAACAATATGGTTCTCAGGTTTATCCAATAACTAACAAAATATTTATCTTTACTTTAAATATATTAACAGCAAAATTTAATAACCACAATATCTATGCTATAATTAGTTAATTCGTCACAGTGTCTTTACCAATTTTGCAGTTGAGGCCTGAGGATGGACACAATTTAGCTAATCATGTGAGAGATTGGCATTGTAAAGACATTATGGCCATTATATAGGAAATTGCTTGCCCTGAGATATCAATTTGTTAGCCCTGAGACAGCAAATTGTTTGCAGTAAGATATCAATTGCTTGCCGTGAGATATCAAATACCATGCCCTAAGACAGAAAATTGCTTGCCGTGAGATATTAAATTGCTTACCCTGAGACAGCAAATTGCTTGCCATGAGATCTCAAATTGCATGCCCGGAGAAGGCAAATTGGTTGTCTTGAGGTATCAAATTGCTTGCCCTGAGACAGCAAATTGCTTGCCGTGAGATATCAATTTGCTAGCCCTGAGACAGCAAATTGTTTGCAGTAAGATATCAATTGCTTGCCATGAGATATCAAATTGCATGCCCGTAGAAGGCAAATTGGTTGTCGTGAGATATCAAATTGTTTGCAATGAGATATCAAATTGCTTGTCATAAGATATCAAATTGCTTGCCCCGAGACAGCAAATTGCTTGCACTGAGATATCAAATTGCTTGCCCAGAGACAGCAAATTTCTTGCACTGAGATATCAAATTGCTTGCCTGCAACAACAAACTGCACGCTCTTAGAGAGCAAAGAGTGTGCCCTTAACCCATTACCCCATGAGCATTTTGTGAAAAATGGCTGTTTTCATTGAAAAGTCTCCCGTTACAAGTTCAAGTTGCTATAAAACTATCAAAACTGCTTCAATGCTAATCAAACTTGGCACAAATGTTGACTGTACCATTGCCAATTTTGTAACAACATGCTCAATCTGAAATTTCCTGTTACCATGGCAACTAGGGGACATCTCAAAATTGCCAAAAATCACTATTTTGCTTTGATTTTTTCCATCAAAATTGATTTCAAAGTGCTGCCACATCTCAATGGATTGAGATAGAGTCAAAGGCTTTTCAGCATTGGTTACACCTTACCTTATGATCGACCTGGGGCCATTTTTAGCCTCCCACAAGTCCAAAATTTTCTTGGCGATGAGGGGGACTCCGCCCCCCTTCAAACCCCCCAAACGTGCCCCCTTCTGGCAGCCCCCTGATGTATCTTTTGGATGGGGGGCCGCGCCGAAAAAGTGGTCAATTTTTTAAACAACATTTCTCAAACAAAAACAAGTGTTTGGGGGCCTTAATAAGGCATTTTTTCACCATTTGAGAAAGCAAAAAGGGGGGGGGGGTGAAAAAGGCGTAGAAAGGCGTATATATCTGGTAATGGGTTAAACAGTAAATTTCTGTCATAGGATATATAAATATAAAATTGCTTGCCCTCAGATAGAAAATTGCATTACACATCTCATTCTCTCCAACCCACCCTGTTTCTTCAGTGCACGGATACGAAATATTATTTTTTTATAATGTTGAACAATAATATTAAGTCAGGTTTGCCACCCTGCAGTCATCTGCAGGAAAATTACCACTTCTTTACTACACATATGCTTTATTTCAAATGCCTAAGTTACTATATACAGTTTAGCTTCTTATCTCTGAGAACCATAAAGTCTTCCATAAAAACATATTACATGCAAAAATATGTTTTTACAACAGTTACAAAAGTTTTGTGCATAGTACTGAATATTTTTTCCTTTAAAGGTTTCAAGCTTGGTTTCATCCTTAACCCCCCCCCCCCCCCCCAATCTATCCAGTCCCAATCATAAAAGCTTGTTTTTTTCTGTTTTCCTTTTTGTTCAGAGTCTATTCTTCTTGGTGTTTTGTACAATAAAAAGATCAAAATGCAAAAGGACTGTAACAACATAAATAATAGTGGGTGCAGCAAAAAATGAAAAAAGCCAAAAAAAAAGCTTTTTTCTGTTAAACTGGTGTCAAGGAATGGCATAAGATAAATATACAGTAAACGTACTATAGAACTTTTTAAAGTTTTTTTTCTCTATATGTAATTTTGTTTTTGTGGGGGTGGGAGCAGTAATAATTCACACATAAACTGTGACGCCAGCTTAACCTGCTGGTAGTATCACTATGTGTTATTTCAGGCATGAAAGGGCACCTGAGTAGAACCACTGCCCTTCCACACGCAAGGATAACTTTCTCACATGAAAAATCCCGATTCTAACAAATATTGGTTAAGGGAGAGTGATATTTGAAATCTGCTGCCTTGACCAAAAGACCAAGGTGTCAAAATGGATGTTGAAGTGTTCGGCAATGATTGTGTCTCATAAATTTTTATGAAATAATATTGAGCAGGTATGTTTGTTTCTACAATGGCTTTTTTCTTTCACTCAACACGCCACAAGTTCCCTATGTAAACGGATATTTGATTCTATTGTTTTGATGCCCTTGTGGGAAAATTTTGTCTGAGAAACTAAGATACAAGATCATGAAATATAAATTACTGATCGTTTTCTCTTACTAAGGAACATAACTAAACCTTTAGTCAAAGAAACTTGGAATTAAAAGTGTTGAATATTTTCCCCTTTCAGAGGGTACAGAAAGACTTATTTGTGGGTAAAATACCCAAAACCAAGAATATTTTTTGAATTACTGTTTACGATGTAGCTTAAAATCACTTTTAAAATCTTTGAATTGCAGCCTGTATGTATGAAACTTACTATATAATACGAGAAAGTACGTTTACCATACACATAGACAAACACATAAAAAAAGAAGAGAAAAAACAATCAGTAACTAAATTAATATACCAAGGTAAAAAATATGTGCCCACGAAATGTAATGAACAAATTAGCTAGTTACATAAAGACTCGAGCGATACATCTAGGAAAATAAACACGTTACTGTAACATATATATAATAGCTACCATTTAGCTTCTGCTAGTGGATGTAACAAGGCAAATGTGTAACTCTTTTGTTTGATTCCTCGTCTGAAGTTGAAAATGACGAAAATTAGCAACGTTTTTTTTTTAAATGTTAATAATTTCATCTGTTCATTTCAAGATTAATTTTCATTTCCTTCTTTCTCCCCAAAAGCATTTTATATTCAGAATTCCCCTTGATGCAATTTGCTTGCAAAGCTAAATGGAAATCATAACATTATAAGACTGGTAGTAAAAAGACAATTATGGAACATTTAAAGATCAAATGAATACCCATTTAGATTGATATTAATATTAATATTTCCTTACAAAGACAGTCAGGTTTTATGTTTACCTACACAATATGACTTATCATTGTATGTATGTTCATTTGCACTGAAGTGTGGAATTTACAGATAAATGCTTGCAGCAATTACTTGTTTACGCCGCTAGTGTCAACTAGACTCTACAGTGATCACTGGTTGATGATTAATTTCAGCAGTTTATTGCATTATTGAATATTTCCCATTAAATAACAATGGACTGCTCCAAAGTCAAGGGAGGACTAATCCATTATACAAATTTAGGTAAAGTAAGGATTAAAGACTGCAGGTTATCTTAACCTGCTGGTAATTTCCACTTCAATAAATACTATATTTAGCATTTTTGGAAATGATGCTGGGTCCTTTTTGAAGGTAAAAACTGGTTCAAAAATGACTAATATAATGGGACAATTAAAAGCAATACTACTGACAAAAATTACCTTCACAATTAATGGGAAATAAAAAGCAATCTGATTTTAAGTGTTATTTTTATACGAGGTTGAATGTTTATTTATTGTGTCCAAGATATGATATCTTTTATAGACGAGGGGCACAGGCTATTTGAACATGTTCAAGCATTCTTATCAGATTGAGAGTCTAGCCTTACGTTTACATATAAAGCACAAAAGCCAAGATGAATACATGTAATTATAAATGTACCTGTTAAGTACCAAATTTATGAGGATCCCTGAAAAGGTGCAATTAAAGGACCTTAAATTGAACATACTGATATATTTATATTACTACAAAATTATAAGCTTGGTATATGCTTAAATGAACAACTGCTTCCCAATGCCTTGATAAACGTTAACAATCATTTCAATTCTTTTTTTCTTTCTTTGGTTGGTTTTTTTCCGTCTCAACAGCACAGTATAGATTATATGTTGGTGCCCTTCTGTGGATGTTTTTCAGGACCAAAGTCGTAGGGATTCCAGCCCACAGCGGTGAGCGGAAAGTGGTGTGATGTCAAAAACCTTCACCACTCAGGGACAGCCACCCCCAGTGAAAAGAACAAGCAGTACCTGTACATTTTCTATAATAGACAGACATGTTTCCAAATGGGGGAGGGGGGAAGACATGGGTCTTAAGATGTCTATGAATAATTAAATCTTATAAAATAACTTTGTGTTCAATAAAAGACAATTGAATATTTTTCATCCTAAGATTGTCAAAAACAAATCAGTTAAGGTAAACATATTGGTTAAATTCTAAATTTACAATGTAATCCATTTTCTAAGATCCCTACTCTTTTGTGGTATATTTTCACTTACATTGTTCATTGAAATGGTATTTTATGGAGAAAAAAAAAGACAAAATATTTCAATTCTATAGCAACCATAATAGACAAATAAATACACTTTTGACATACTACATGTAATTTATCTTAACTTTTCTTCTGTAGTAGCATACATGTCACACATATAGCTTACTGCCACACATGAAGCGGAACCTTTTTCACAGGTCAAAAATATTTGTGCAACATCTTTCAAAATCTTACAAAATTATTACTTAAATATCATTGTTTCTCCATAAAAATACAATCATCCAATTTATTTTGTGCTAAACAGTCTAAATTTACCCAAGAGAAAATATCTCAACAACTAAAAACACAACCAGAACTATAGAAAAGTACTCACTTTGATGAGAAGTTGGTGCTTATGGCCGGTACATGACACTGTAAATGGAAAACTTTTGGGCACTTGTCACAGCATAACAGGTCTCCTCCATTGTGGCACACGGCACAGTAATCTTCTGACGGGTCAGAGGGATCATGTTTCGGCTGGAGGTGATATGCGTTCAACCTTTGACCACTAGGATTGACCAACCCCTGTAGAAGCTCATTGCGGTCAGTGTCAATATCTGTTGTAAAAACAAATTTAAAAAATGGTAAAAAAAAATTTATTTTTCCCGGGATGCAATAAAGGGGAATAAAAAAAA